TCTGGCTGTGCGTGTACCACGGGATACGGGTTCAGGTGAGCACCGGCCCTCAGCACTGCTGGTCCCGACTCTGGCACTAGTCCTTGAGATAAACTCCTCCTTGAGACTCTGTCTCTAGTCTCCATCAGCAGAAGCATGCGTGCTCTGTAGAAATGCTTTGAGTGTCTGTGATCTGGCATGGTCTGCTAGGGCTTAATGCTTTGGTAGAATTACTAACTTATTTCTTCCTTTTTTTGATTTTTAGGGAGAAAGGAAGTGTCTGACTTTCTATTTACCTAAATTCTTCATTGTTGGACTATTGTGGTTGGCTTCTGTTACACTAGGAATATGGCAGACGTGAGTAATTTTGTTACGTGTGAAACTTCAGGCATGAGAAGCTTTTGACAAAGGTGGACAGATCCACAGGCTCACTGTATTTTGTGAACCCATCCAGAAAGGAATCTGTCACCAGGGTGTCAAGACTGGATAGTGTGATTTGAACTGAGGGTTCATTTCTGCTTGAATGTCATGTCAGGTAACACAGTCCTTATAGTCTTGTCTGGAAAATGAAAAAGACTGTTATTTTAGCTTTCCCCTTCAAAGTGCCAAAGACATCATCTGTAGGAATGGTGCTCAGGGGTCCTGGCTCATCTCTGCCTGTAAGAAGCTTTAGTTTCTCCTTGGGCTTGCATCTGTAAACTTCCATTCCTGCACCGCTCCCAAGGCTTATTGCTATTAGTAGTTTTATCCTGTAAAATGGGACCAGTGTAGAAGCCTGCTGTGGGCACAGCCTGATGCTTCCAAGTAGGATTTTCTGCAGAAACAAGTTCCATTTCAGGGGTATGATTCTGACACTTGGCACATCTGACTTCATGGCCCATGACAGCACTTAGCCCAACTCGTCTCCCTTCCCTATCCCTGCCTGCCACCTCAGTTACTGAGTCGTTTTAAAATGAGTTGCACGGAGGGGCGCCTAGGGGTCGTCGGTTTAGCATCTGACATCAGCTGAGGTCACCATCTTACATTTCATGACTTTGAGCCCTACATAAGGCTCTCTGCTTTCAGTGCAGAGCCCACTTTGGATCCTCTGTCCCCATCTCTCTGCCCCTCCCCTACTTATGTGCACTCTTGCTCTCAAAAATAAACACTTAAAAAAATGAGTTGCATGGAAGTTGATGTTTACTTTTATAGCTTTCTTTGTGTGCTCAGCTATTCCCAGTGCCCAGGTATGCCATTGAAAAGGTACCAGAAAACAGTTTGGGGCCTTGCAAGAGGAATGGTATAGGGATTTTTTTGAAATAAAAAATACTGCAGCTTCATAGTATTGATGACTATGGGCAGACAGTTACGTTTAGTAGCCCTGGATGCATTTTCATTGTGAAATTTAGGGTTTCTTACAAATTTAGAATTACTTTTTAAAAATCTTTTACTGTTGGTTAGCAAGGAGTTTATGTTAAAAAGTTTCTTAAAAAGCCAAATGAAAGTCTAAAATGGAAAGTATACTAGTTCTTAATCTATGATTTTTGTTTGTAATATTGTATTTTCAGAGTTAATGAATTACATGATCCCATGTACCAGTATCGAGTTGACACAGGAAATTTTCAGGTGAGAATCATTAATGACACCTGGTATTTCTTTTTAAATGCTGTTTTTCAAAATTGCTGAACTTTGTAACTTAAACTGTGTTGGGGACATGAGCTTGCTAACTGGCACTTTGGGGAAGAATGCAGAAGGTTCATGGGTGCAAAATTTGGAAAAAGGTGTTTGAACAGTATAAAAAAAAGCTTTTAAAAACAAAGTTGTTGCTCCCATTGCTTGGTGTATGTTTGAGGCACAGAACATGTGTCAGATTTACGAACATTGTAGAACAATTAAGAAAACATTTTGGTTTGTTTAATTCTCCAAAGTAGAGGAAGGTTTCCAGTGAATGAATGATGTGGCCAGCTGGCTGTGTGGGCCTGCAACCCCAGCAGTCACAGGGCCCAGTGCCTTGGGTGATGCTCTGCTCTTGCCAACCCAGAATTCTTTATACTTTCTAACAAGGGGTCCAGTGTTTTTATTTTACACAGAGGTCCACAGATGGCAATCAGCCCTGAGTGTGGCTTTCCCTTGAGTCTCCAGGTTTGTGGGCATTCCTCGTGTCTCATAGGGCAGCCTCTGATAGGCGCAGCTGAGCCCGGGCGCAGATGTGTGCAAGGGGCGGGGGGAAGGGAGGGGTGCAGGGTGAGCCCTGGGAGGAGGCTAGGAGGCATGTTCCCAGCAGGGCAATCCCAGAGGCACAGAGTTGAATCCTGAGCTTGGTGACAGCCAGCATTTCTCTGACGCTTTGCAGAGCTTCCTGTGAAGTGATAAAATCTGTGGCTCTTTATGGGAATGGCCTCTGAGAAAGAGGGAGGTTTAGTGAATCTTGAAAGATGAATAATGTGGGTTGAGACTACACATGTACTAGCAAACAGAATAAGCCCCTGATTCTTAATCGAATTTCAGCAGGGGAGTACCAGTAGCCTTTCCATTCCATTATTTAGAAGTTTGAGGAGTTTTGAAGGTCATTCAGTGAATGCCTTTTGAGCAGTGTGCCATGATCCTTGCTCTCAAAGAATACGTGACCTTGTGAGGGAGAAAAAGCTTAGAAATAAGTACAGACCAGTACTGCCAGGTGTGCAGTGTCCTGATAGCTGTGTCCTTACGTACAGTGGGCCAAGTTACAAGTTGTATTTTGTCTTTTTTCTTAGTCTTTTATTTAGTCTTATGATGCTTTAATAAGTTTTTTGGGGGGAGGGGCTGCACCTGGAGTGGAGAGTAGGGGAGGCATTCTGGTCCAGGGAAGGAAAGCGCTATTCCAGAGTTGTGTGGGGCCACGGGAGGAGGAAGCCATGCAGGAAACCCGAGTCAGGGCAGGCTCAGTGGGGGCTGTGCTCAAAAAGGGCCCTAGAAAGACTTGAGGCCGTGTGTGTGAGGGTCCGGGCTTTAGAGAAGCCTTTTCTCCCTGAGGGCCGGGCACTAAAGGAAGGGACAGGGAGGAGTGGCTTTGACCCATTCTCACAAAGATTCTGGAGACTCCAGCGATGGATCACATACGGGACTGTAGATTGAGCGTAACTTTCCAGATCTAGGTGAAATAATATAGTTTCATGCTAAACTGTTATCGGAGTTTTTGTCTGGTCCAATCCTCTCATTTTTCATATGAAGAAACTGAGGGCGGTGAAGGGTTTTGCCTGAGGCCACACGGGGCTAGTACCTGGGCCAGTGTGCCCAGCTCCCTGGATGGCCTTTGGGTAAAAACTGTGCCCTGGGAGCAGCATCCCAGCCTGTTTCCCTCTGTAAAGGGGGGCAGTGCTACAGTCTCTCTTAAAGAGTTGTATGGGTTGAATTGACCTCAGGAACTCAAAGCACGTGGCCAGCATTTAGAAGGACTTGAGCAAGGCCGCTGTCACTGTGGTTGTGGTCACCTGTCCCCTTCTCAGTCAGTGGCCTATGTTTGTTACTAGAGGAAACACTGGAAACCAGAGACTTCTAGGGAGCTGAAAAAAGCTAAAGACCCAGCACTGGTGTATTGAGCAACTGCTACATCCCAGGCCCTGTGCTAGGAGCTTTCCATGTGTCATGGAAGAAGCTTGGATTCTCATTCATCTGACGAGCAAGGGCTGGGGGTGACCACCCAGGTGAGACACCGGTGCTCACCAGACAGGATGAGAGGCCGGGTCTGGAAAGGCAAGTCACAGCAGTGGGAACACGTCCTTGTTCTGTGTTACGGAGTGATCTTCAGGATTCTAGGCTACTTTTAAAAATGTTTGGTTTTCCTGCTTGCGGTAGTGTTGGAAGGAAGAGCAGCACTGAGTCCTGGTTCTTATTCAGTTGCCCATCTTGTGTCATTCTAGGGAATGAAGATTTTCTTCATGGTGGTGGCAGCTGTGTATATCTTATACCTTTTGTTCTTGATAGTGCGGGCCTGTTCCGAGCTACGTCACATGCCTTATGTAGGTAAGCGCCACATCACAAATTGCCCAGGGCAAGGTGCGTAAGGCCTTGACCTCACATGGTGGGAGGAGTGGCTGGAGTCCACCCAGATGGAGGTCTGACTTGGATGGGGACCCATCCCCCTCCCTCAGGGTGGAGACGAGTCCCTTTGGTCCCTGGGGAGGTCTGGTAACAGGGCTGACTGGGTAACTGTGGGCCTTTTGGGCAGTGCCTCGGTCAGCTCTGAAGGGAGGCCTGTGGGGTAGAAGCCACCTGGGGCCCTGGGTGCCAGTATGGCTTTGGAGCCACCTGGATCCTTCCAGAATCATACCTTATAGAGGAAGTGACCATGGTGGTTTTCCTAGTCCTGCGTCAAAGCAACTCACCTGATCTCAGAGGATTCTTTCCTTCAGTCCATCACAACCAAATAATAATGGCCATGGTCTCTCGGGGAGGTGGGAGAGCATTTCTTCTAGGCTTCAGGTACACACAGGCTTAAAGTCCAGACGGAGGAGGGGCTTTGTTCAGGAGGGTTAATTTTTGTCTTTATTTTTAAGCTCTCTGAGCATGGAATTTACTTCCCATGTGGTTTAAATGGGTATTTATTTCTTTTTCAGATCTCAGGTTAAAATTTTTGACTGCATTGACTTTTGTAGTACTTGTCATTAGGTAAGAAGACTTTATTTTTTGAAAGAAACAAAACAGCAAATTTGTATTTTCCTACCATGAATATCTTTTTTCCCCTTTTACAAAGTTAACTTTAAGGCATTTCTAGCCAAACATATTCATTGGGTCAGAGAGCCTCTTGCCCAGAGCAGGCGCTGAGTGTGCATGGTGGTGGAGCGAGTGCAGTTGTGTTGTATGTGCCCCCGGGCAATGAGGAGTGTTGACTTGAAGCCAGCTGGTCCGGAGCTGGGGGAGCTCCCTACTTGCTCTGATGTCGCCTTGTAAGTGGATCAGCCACAGCCCAACTCAGGTTAAACCACTACAACACCGTATGTGTACTTGGCACCTGGTATCCTTTGGGCACTCCCAGTAGAAGACTGTGCATTTGAACTCGGTATCACAGGTGTCCTTGAACAGCAGTGTGGTGGCCCCGACAGGAGGGGATGCTGCACCGAGAGACTGCAGAGGCCCCGGTGACCCAGTTGTCCCTGTGAATGAATGCCAGATCACTGCTTGGTTGTGGTTTGTCTCTTTCTGCTAAAATCAAAACCCAGAGGGAAAGGAATCTAGTTACCTGCCTTTCTTTCTTTGGTTGTTTGGATGGCAAAAAAAAATGGCAGCCGGTCCTCTTCTTTGGCCCGAGCCACGCAGGGCTCGGAGAGGATGGCTTTGCAAGGAGACGCTGAGGTCTCCCATGTCCCTTCCCTTTCCCTCATTGTGCGCATCACTCACCATACCAAATGAACTCAGCGTGGGCTTCCCAGTGAGCTCCATCCGCATCTGCGTTCCCTGAAAACAGCAGTGCCCGTATGGTGCAGGCGGGCCCTCTTCAGCTCTCGGTGTGCTTGCCTCCCACCTCCCACACACCCCCGCTCACACATGCATCCTCACATGCTCTCACGTCCTTGAACACCTATGCACACTCCTCACACACACCCTCTCACACCCCTCACAGTCACACACTCTTACACACACACACCCCCCACCCCCCCGTCCTCACCCTCCTGCTGCCCCGGTCCACAGACTGGGCGTGGGATACTTGCAGTGACCTTCGAGGAGGAGTCTGACTTGGAAGCTGTCATGCCTTCATGGCCCTTCTTCATACAGGTTCAAGGGGATTCACTTACCTGCCCGGCAGACCCATACAGAGTGTCTGCTCTCGGGGCAGCAGGCGGGCACGTTCCTCCCAACGGTGGAGGTTCTCCTCCAGGGGAGGAAGACTGTGACAAGTCAATAGCATGTCCAATCGTGAAAACAGACGTGACGACGGCGGGAGAGGCTGTGCTGTAGGTGGGGGGAGGGGATGTCTCTCTGAGGAGGTGACTGAGGCCCGAGGCCTAGAAGCACCTGGGCGAGGGGGACAGGCGGCTTGGTGAGGAGAAGGAGAGGAGACCTCACAGGAGGGAGAGCAGCCGTTGGAGAGGTCAGGCCGCCTCGAGGAGTCCCGGTTCATTCTCGGGGATGGAACCCTTCGGAAGGGTCGAAGCCCGGAGGTGAAGGGCTCGGCTTAGGCGGTCAGCCATCAGTATGGCTCCGCGTGGAGGACGGGCTGCAGGGAGGGGAGGCGAGCACAGGGGAGCGGGTTTGGAGGCCGCGGAGCTCCGGGTGCTCAGGACCTTCAGTGGTGGTGCATAGCCGCTTGGGCGCTGCAGGGATGGCGTGTGTGCGCAGGCGCGGGCATGTGCGCAGGCGCGGGCGTGCGTGCCGGCGCGGCTTGTGCGCGCGCACTCGGGGCCGTGAGACCTTGCTGCGAATGGGCCGTGTGAATGGGGGAGTGGAAGTTCTGTGAAGCTAGTGCCGTTTCCTTGTGTACTTTTACTTAATGCCCCTCCCCCCTTTTTCCAGCATCGTCATCCTTTATTTAAGGTTTGGAGCGCAAGTATTACAAGACAATTTTGTAGCTGAACTGTCAACTCACTACCAGAATTATATCCTTTCAATGGGAGGCGGCCGCCAGCCTTCAGGAACACGCTCTGCGAGGAGGGGTTAGCCGTTAGGTCTGCAGCCCTGAAGAAGAGGCGGGTCCCCGTGCCGTGGTGCCCTGTGTGCTCTGGGTCCCACCGCTGCCCGTCCCTGTGGGCAGTGGCCCAGGCTTGGCAGGGCCAAGCCATCCCAAGGGAGTTAGGCTCCCCACCAGCCCTCCCCGCCACCCTGCTCTTCTGTCGGCATGGTGGGGATCCTTTGGGGACCCAGGCTCCACCCAGAACCTTGCCTCAGTCCCGGGTGCCCACTTCTGCCTGCAGAGCACTGAGGGGAGGCTGAGCCTGATCTGAGAGCCCCCTCTCCCTGTCACCCAGGTGTATCCAGCTGCAGTGTCCACGGAGATTAGGGCGGTTTAAGCCTGAGTCCCCAGAAAGGGCTCCTACGTCCAGACTCCCAAGTGTGCCCGAGGCCAGTGGGCTGGGCTCCTGGGTTCCCGGGTAAACCTTCAGCTGCCCTGGCTGATTAAGCGTGCTTGCCTCCCCCCACCCCGCCCCTTTCATGATGGCATCCTTCAGGGGGCGCTCTGGAGTGAATCCCGGACATTCAGGTTCTTCCCCTGGGGCTTCTTATATCCTAAGAATTCATGCAGGATTTGTCACATTTTAGTAACTGCATTTCACACTAAACTTTTATTAAAGGAGTCAGTAATGCAGAGAAGGTGAAGAAGAGTGGTTTGGGAACCCGTATTCCGTTCTTCCTTTCAGTCTTGGTTTACCCGTATGCACACGTGGCCTTCCTGCCCTTTGGTCCTGCCCGGTCCAGAGGTTTCCAAGGATAGAAAAGAGCACGGTGCACCTGTTGTTACAGGTGACCTGGAAAGGTTATTGTAACGCCTAACTGTGGGCTTGCCCTGTGACATCCTGTGTCTGGGCTGTGCGGCCCCAAGGTACTCGCTGCTACTAAGCAGTAGCGAGGACTGCAGGCGGTCAGACGGAGGCAGCCAGACTGAAAGCAAAGACGCCAACTGAATACACAGTGTTCCGGGGCTGCTTATTTTCCTTGACCGGTATCACCAGCCGAATTCTTATCTTTCTATGGCTTATTGAACTTTTACCTCTATACTTTGGCCTTTGTGTATTCTCCATCGAAGAACGCCCTGTACGGTAAGCCTCCCCTGGGGCCGGGTCACTGGCCAGATAGCTCCACAGAACTTAGTTCAGGACCCATCTCCCGGGTCCCCTGTTAGTGCCAGGCACCAAGACTCTTTAGCAGAGAGAGACGAGGTCAGTTACAGCGTGAGCTCTGAGGTGTTAGAACACGGCATGTGCTGTGTTATTACACAGTTATTGGGTTCTGGCACATATGAAGTCAAGTCTGTTGGACACCAGTGCTGTGGCCATTCAAGGAAAGCCAAGATGCACAGCTCCCCCCCACCAAAGAAGAACTAACCTCTCACACAGGCAGTAAAAAGGATGAGAACCTCCTAGAACGTGGGCAGGGGTATAGCCTTTCAGGACCACCACCTGACTTTCATGTTGTGTGAGCTTTCAAAGCGCCTTCATGAAGTGTCTTGTTCGAGCCTCACAGCAGCTTTATGATGAAGATGCAGTTACTCCCATTTGAGGTGACAAAACTAGACAGGCTGGCTTCCCAAGGGCCATTGGGGGGTGGGGGGCAGGCGCCTCTGGTCTCCCTGGTGTTTCCCGCCCCTGCTACCTGTGCAGACTTGGGAGAAAGTAGCTGGCTTGCAGCTCCCATCTGAGGGCTCCCCTGGTGCCTCTTTTCTCCCAGTGCTTCCGCCACTCGGTGTGCCCGGTGGCCTGCCCGGTGGTGGTGCTGCCCCTGGCTTGTACATGAGAAAGCACACTTGGGGAGGCGAGATTTGGTCAGGTCACACAGATCGTAAACAGCTGGGATTTGAGTCCAGCCCTTTCTACTCCTATCCTTTTTCTATAGCATCCTGCCTCTCTAGACTCATGCATGAAAATGCTCTTTGTTGGTTTTCAGAGTCCCAGCTGAAAGACAACCCTGCATTCTCCATGCTGAACGACTCCGACGATGATGTTATCTATGGGTAAGTCCCTGCCTCTCTGAAAGCTGTGCTGTGCTGAGTACTTGGCCTGCGTGCACTGAATAGGTGTTCATCACCCTAAAATGGTTTTCAAGGCATTAAGGCCTTTCTTTTACCTGGAATGTCACGTGATCCCATGGTTTGCTGTTTTCACATTGTTCTGACTAGATGGAGTGGTATTCCTTTTTTTGAATACTTAGCACGAGAGGTGACCACGGGAAGAACAGTTCATTCTAGCAATGGGCTCTGGCGCCTGATGGGGGCAGGGAGAGCAGGCGGGGGCAGTTGGCTATAAAAATGGGGAGCACAGAGCTGCGAATGCGTTCTTGCTAGAATGGCATGTCAGTGTGGAAGAGAACAGATGAGCTGTCAAAGGCCGAGTGGCATCAGAGATCTCTTTTGTGACAGGAGTGACTATGAAGAGATGCCCCTGCAGAACGGCCAGGCCATCCGGGCGCAGTACAAGGAGGGGTCTGAGAGTGACTGAGCCCCGACCCTGCCAACGGGCAGCACCACTTCCTGGCCTTCCACGCTCCTGCTGGTGCTCAGGCTTGTCTCGTGAGCAGAGATTTCCTGGTCCTTATTTGTTTACGTAGTTTTGAAAGGAAAACCAAAACCAAGGACGAATTTAAATGTTGGGCCAAATTTATAGTTAGAGTGGCTGCATACATTTGGGAAGAGAGGCACTGATAAACAGTGTAAAGAGGCAGACCCTTTTTCAAAGATTTCAGATGAGAAAGGGTTTGTTTCTAGTGGTGAGGGGGAAATTACTCCTGTTTTTAGTAGGTTTTTTTTTTTTTTTTTTAAATAATTTGCTAAGTCCAAGTCCACGGAAAGCCCTTATGAATGAAGTCATCGGCATGGTGGCATTCTTTCTTTCTTCCTTTCTTCTCTACCCTGTACCAGTTTCGACCCTTTAAGAGAAGCCAATTTTTGTGCCTGTCTCAGAGGGCAGCCTGAGTGGCCAGCGCTCTGGATAACCACGCATGTCAAGTGACTCGTAACTTCTGTCTGTTGTGTGAAGTCTGTAAGTCACGTCTCACTAGAGATATGATGGGCGGGCCGGTTCTAGCCCTTCACTGCTCCCCCAACCCCACCTTCACCCCGGGGCAGAACTGGCATCACAGGCTTCTGAGGAGGACTGGGTGAGCTTCATAAGGAAAGGGTGAGATAACTGATCAGTGCCAGCTCTTGTTGGGAGAGGTCTTGCTGCCATACAGTGTTCCAAGGGCCTGTGTACACATGTGTGTGCATGTGAGGGCTACGTGTATATGAATGGGTGTCGTTGTGAATGGGGTGGGGAAGAGGGTATCCATTACAATTCCCATAAACTGTAGTTTCTACAACTCCATTAGAGAGGACACCCTTTGAACTTTATTTTCTTTGTAAAAGCTAAACAAAGGATGGATAAAATATTATAGTTTCTTTACTGAAAAAAAGTTTTTTCAGTTTCTCGTTTGGAACCTAGATGAAAGAAAGTAAAATATTTTTGGTGACTTGTGGGAACACATCTTTGGGTAGAAGGTCACTTGCTGGGAATCATGCCCCGCCCTCCCAGCCTCACATGGTGGCCTGGGAAGATGGTGGCTTGCCCTGGAAAAGAAGAGTTGTCTCAAGTTGCTGGATCTGTGGCATTGCAGAAGGCCCTGGAGAGTTGCCAGTTCCTTGTTGTCAGAGACTAAGCATAGAAGTATAGATAACTCCTTTGCTTTTCCTTTGACATGCATGATAATGTCCGTCTTGAACTGTTGACATACCATTATTGCTAACATCCTGATTGAAGGCATGGCATAGGATAGGAGTGCTCTGCTCTGCAAACAGTACCTACATTTTCTTCATCTATGCATTAACTCTTAGATTACCATAGCTAAAACTTGGATTCCACTTGCGATAATGCTGGGACCTTCTAGAGGTTCATGAGAAACTATTCATTATGACTTCACTTCTCTGCTTAATTTAAACTTTAGTGATAATGTACCTTTAATATGGATTCCATTTGTATTTGTTTTTTAAACCCTGTAAATATGAAAGTTTGAATTAAAACAACTGTATTATTGCAAGGGTAATTCAAGTTTACATGGTTTTTACATTTTCAATGGTGTGATTACTTCTTTTGATTGTATTCAGAGGTATTGGAAAAATTTTCCTGTT